CATGGTGCAGCTGGGTGAGCTGATGATGCTGCAGCGGGTTCGGCGGAGGCGTGCTCGGCGAGCTGACGACCTGAACGGTTCCGTGCTGCTGCAGATACGGTTCCAGGAAGACATCGCTCCTGCGAACAGACAGAGAAAACAGACCGTTCCGTTTAGTCTCGTTTCGTTAATTAGCCGGCCATCCGCTAGAAGAATCCGCCGGGACGAAACGCCATTACCGTTCTTCCCCCGATTAACGTTAATTTTCGTCCGTTCGGCGAATCTCGAGAATAGGAAATACGAATGGATGGAATATTCTATGCACGCTTAATCGCTCGGAGAAACTCGGCGGGTTCACAACGCGCGCTTTGTAAGCGGACAATTTCCTCGCTGGCCGGCGGATTTATCTAGAGGGCAGGGAAAACTGGACCGATCGATCTCGAGATTCCGCTTCCACTTGGCGCCAACGACGTTAACAAGCTAGACCAACGAGAGACGTTAACGCCAGAGAGGCTTAACGATCTTCGTTAATTATACAGAATAATCCGAACTCGCGTAAAGCGATCGCACTCGTCCTCTCTTAATTAATGCTCTCATTAAAATCCGAATAGGTCCTAATGGCTCCTATCTTGCGATCCACGATTCTCTTACTCCTCGTGCTCTCTGCCAATTTTTTCTTTCCTCTCTCCCTTCTTTTATCAATCGCTTTATCACCTGGCGAGATCGGCCACCTCGAGACAAAGAAACTCGCTCGTGTGCACGACTTCGTTCGCAACGAGGACAGCGGCTATATATATATATATATATATCTGGTTGGTGGCGTATCGGAGCTAATTGCGCCACGTAGCACGCGTACTCGTCAGAGAACTCGTGGTACGCGTCAGAATCTTGAGAGTGAGTGGCGCGTTACGCGGAAACGCCTAGAGCTAGATTAACGACACGAGTTTTTGTGCGTCCAAGTGTAGTTCACGCGGCGTTTCCCGGGAGCCCGGTGCCTGTCATTAGCGCACTTCGCGCGCACATGCGGATATTGCTCGTTACGAAGGAAAATCACTAAAGCCATTGCTTCGAAAATTTACGTTTCCACGAATCGTTATACACGTGAAATGCAAGGATCCTTTCGAACGTGTATGCGGATATTGCTTATTACGAAGGAAAATCATCCGAGCCTCCAAAATCATTGCTTCGAATATTTATATTTCCATTAATCGTTATACACGTGAAATGCAAGGATCCTTTCGAACATATATGTGGATATTGCTTATTATGAAGGAAAATCATCCAAAACCATTGCTTCGAATATTTATATTTCCATCAATCGTTATACACGTGAAATGCAAGGATCCTTTCGAACGTGTATGCGGATATTGCTTATTACGAAGGAAAATCATCCGAGCCTCCAAAAACATTGCTTCGAATATTTATCTTTCCATCAATCGTTATACACGTGAAATGCAAGGATCCTTTCGAACGTATATGTGGATATTAGTACGAAATAAAAATATTGCTTATTATGAAGAAAAATCATTCAAGCCATTGCTTGGAAAATTTATATTTCCATGAATCGTTATATATGTAAAATGCAAGGATTCTTTTAAACGTGTATGTGGATATTGCTTATTACGAAGGAAAATCATCCAAGCCTTCAAAGCCATTGCTTGGAAAATTTATATTTCCATTAATCGTTATACACGTGAAATGCAAAGATCCTTTTGCATATGCGGATATTGTTACGAAATAAAAATATTGCTCATTACGAAGGAAAATCATCCACGTCTCCAAAATCATTGCTTCGAATATTTACGTTTCCACTAATTGTTATATAAAATATTGTTACGAAGGAAAATCATCCAAGCCTTCGAAACCATTGCTTGGAAAATTTATATTTCCACTAATCGTTATATACGTAAAGTGCAAAGATCCTTTCGCGGATATTGTTACGAAATAAAAATATTGCTTATTATGAAGGAAAATCATCCAAGCCTCCAAAGCCATTGCTTGGAATATTTATATTTCCACTATCGTTATATACGTAAAATGCAAGGATCCTTTTGAGCGCACATGCGGATATTGTTTATTACGAACGAAAATCACCCAAGCCTTTAAAGCCATTGTTTAGAAAATTTACGTTTCCATTAATTGTTGTACATGTAAAATGCAAGGATCCTTTCGCATATACGGATATTGTTACGAAATAAAAATATTGCTTATTACGAAGGAAAATCATCCACGTCTCCAAAACTATTGCTTCGAATATTTACGTTTCCACCAATTGTTATATAAAATATCGTTACGAAAATCATCCAAGCCTTTAAAGCCATTGCTTGGAAAATTTACATTTCCATTAATCGTTATACCCATAAAATACAAGGATCCTTTCGCGCACACGCTTATTACGAAGGAAAATCATCAAAGCTATTGCTTGGAAAATTTATATTTCCACCAACCGCTGTATACGTAAAGGATCCTACGTCGATCGATCCTCGCCCCGTTGATCGGATTCGTTCGATGAAGTTCGATAAGATTTTTCGAAATTTCGAGGGGGGGATAATTGGCGCGGTCACTCGCGCGTCACCGTTTAGTTAGATTCGAAAGGGACGAGGACCGTTCGAAGCGCGTATTATTTCGAGCAAAGTTTGCGTCGCAGTTTGCCGGGTTGAATATCGGATGAAGGGGCGTTGACGTATGCAAAGTCGCCGACTACCACACCACCCCATCCGTAGCTCGTCCCGTACTCTATTGTCCTCTGCGTTTGACAGTTGGACGGCCTGTCTCGGACCTTGTTTGCCCCGTTCTGCCTCCGCGCCAATCTCCAGGACCGTACACCACCGATCGAAGCAATTTTCGTCTCCTTCTCGATCGATTTGACCGCCAGAGAAAGAGAGAGAGGAAGAGATAGGGAGACGTTTAACTGGTTGAACGGACGATGACGCGGCATTTACGAGCGGCAACGAACGAATTAATCAAAATTTATTTGATTAATTTTCCGAGTAGAAAAAAAGAAAACTCATCCATCGTTCTGTCTCAAGTCGTAGGCCATCTGTTCGTGATTTGGCGATCAAAAGTTGGTCATAAATAAATTACGGTCAACGTTCCTTTCTTTTCCTTTTTTTCTTTTTTTTTTAATTTCCCTTCGACGTAACGAGGGACGATTTGTTACGTCGCGACGTATCGATTTTCCACCGCGACGATATCCGCCGGACGTTTAATTGATTAATTTCACGTCGCGGATTAATTGACTGCTGGAAGAGGTTTCGCTGCGCCTCGTAACCGGCACACAGGTGTACGTATCGATTTAATTAGACGGGAAACATGCGCCGAAAACCTGCGATGGAAACCGTTCAAACTTTTTTTTACCCCTTTTCCTCCTCCCAATCTTTCGACTTATTCTTTTTTTTAAATTTCACGTGACATAATTCGCGTGAAAGACACCGTCGAGAGCGCATTCTTTCAGACGAAAGAAAAAATCGTGAAGAGACAATCGTAAAGTAACAATGGATATTGGTACCGTGGTAATTTCAACGATTAGAAATTTCGATTTCTTTTTTCCAAGAGAGAAAGAGAGAAGCAGCCGTATCATTAACGATCACAATGGTCGAATCCACCATTCCCACTCTTCGAAATGGAAACATTGTAACTTTCCAACCACGTTCCCTCGTCAAATTTTCATTCACCCAACCGCCAACCGCCGAGAACGTGTCGTCAAACTGGCCGTTACAAGCTACACTTACACTACACGGAGGAGAGACCGAAACAATGAATAAATAGAACAAAGATATAAAAAAAAAAAAAAAAAAA